TGTATCAATTTGCATTGATTTTGGTCTTTATAAATAAATTTCTAAAAGCTTAGAAATTATTGTTATTACTTTATTTTTTTCTTTAGTTAAAGTTTTATTCTTAATGCCTTTCAAATAGTTGATTATTGCATGCAATGACTTGAATAAAAAATTATTTAAAGAGCCTACTTTTAGCATTGTTAATAACATATCTTTGATATTATCCTTCAATTCATATTAAAATTACTTAATAAGGGCTTTTTTATTCCAATCCACGTCGAAAAGAAGGTTTTTGAGTTCAGTAGCATAAATGGTGGTTGTCTATGATTTTTATTATAAAGATAAGAGCTTGGTCTCTACTACATTTTTTTAATTATTTTCTTTGAATGTGGCCATGAACACTTTTTGGAATAAATTTAAATCATGAAGGAATTGTAAATCTTTATCCATTAAAGATACAAATCAAGATAAAGCATTTCCAGATAGAAGTGTGCCTATGAATTCAACTTGAATAGATCTGTCAGGATATTGGAAGGCATGCTACCTTAGATAGAGCTTAACTTATTGCAAAAATCTTGAAATTTAGATCTTGTTCTATTAAACTTCTTGAGCATATTAATCCTTATTTCCATTATATTTTTAAAAGCAAAACTTCTTAGATTTGATTTTGAGGTTGATTTACTTGCTTCTTTCAACTACACATTATCTTAATAAACACTTTTGATTTCTTTCATAGATATAAGATTAATACTTCTATGGCTAGTATTGCTAATGCATAAAATTTCCATCCTAAGGCTATTGACAAGCTTGTAAAGATCTATAATAGTTATAAATCTATTTTTACTTTTATTAAATATAGTATCAATAATTTTTTCTTCTATTTCAAATGACTTAAAAAAATCTATAAGTCAAATTAAAAGAACGTAATCTACAACTTCTAATGTCAAATGAAAACTTCTACAAAGAAGGATGATCTACTCTCTTTAAAAAAAATCAATATTAAAAAATTATTTATTTAAAATTAGATAGTCTATAACTTTTAAAATACAACAATAGAAGTGAAATAATCCACTTACTTCTAAAATAAGATAAGAAGAATGAATTATCATTCTTGTTAAATTATTACAGATATAAATCTTAAAGAAAAAAAATTCAATATATTCTTGTATCACTTAAAAAGATTAAAAAGTAACTTAATGATGGCAATATATTGAACTAGAATGACTATTGCAAAAGAAATAAAGACCAAAAAGTCTTAAAATAAGATTAAAAACTACAAAAGAATTGACAAGAATGAAGAAGGCTTCAATCTTGCTTCCATATATATTATCTAACTAGAAGCTATATGGCAATGTTCTATAAGACCTCCAATACATGTAGACTTTGTAAGTTATGTATCTTAACTTAGAAGGCAAGTTTTCTATATGTGCTCTACATAAATAGCTTGTTCCACAAGCTACTAATACATGTAATACATGATTATAGAAGATATTATGAAATTAATTTACTTATACGTACTTCTACCTAACTATATATGTAATTATTAGAATAAATATATATATATATATATATATATATAATATAAAAAGCTTATTATTGATAATATCTTCATTCTTTTCATGTTCATTTTTTTATGGAAGTTAATAAAGAATCCATTATATTAAAAATAATTTATGATTATTAATGCAAGTATATTAATCTAAGTAATTTTCACCTAATTCATCAATGTCAAATAATTAACCTAATTAATATTTGGCTTTCTTTTTTTATCTTTGTCAATTATATTTTATGATTTAAATTATTAATAATATTACTTAAATATAATAATTATACTAAATATATAAATTTGATATTATATTGGAAGTCAACAATACCACTTCAATGTGCTATAAGTCCTAATTGATGTTCTATAAGATTGTGCATTATTAAAAAGAAGAAATATATGGCAATTCACAACTTTTATTTATATTTTTAGATCTTCCAACTATTTGTAAAACATAAGTATAGTTATCCATGTTCTTTTATTAATTTGATAATAAAATCCTACATCTTTGCTAGAAATCCTATTCAAGCAATATTACTTCATTGCATTACTAATAATAAAAGGTTCTAATTTTTTGCTTTCAACTATATTTCTTATAAAAGTAATCATAATTCAAGCTTTGGCTTCTTTTTATGCTTTCAATCTACTTCTATTCAATTGTACAATCAAATGTAATTTAACTATATATATATATATATATTTTAATATAGTTGAAAGAATTTGCTAAAAACTTTTCTATTATAATAAGAAGAAATTAGTCAACAATTTCTAAATTAGGTAACTTATTGTCCACAAACAACTAAAACAATAAGAATAAGAATTACATTTGGAAGTGATACATTCATCTATTTTAAAATTTAAAGACCTTTTTTTCCTTGTTGGTATTAAATCCTTTGAAAAGCCAACACATTATTCTTTTTATTAACTCTTTTGTGACTATTGCTTTACTTGTTTGTTATTAGACAAGCCAATTTCCTAATACTTTGTCAATCTTAACAAAACAAACATGTTCTATCTTTGTTGAAAGTTTGACCAATTCCATATATTTAAAGTTGTCACATTGCTTCAAATTGGTATTCATTATAGATTATGAGGTGACTTTACAAAGTTAGAACTTCTTCTTAGCTTCTGCATATAATTTTTTTTATTTGTATTATAGATTTTTAAACTTAAACATATAAATCTCTAAATTTTGGACGTTATTAGAAATCCAAACACTCTAACAAAAGTTTTTGAATAAGCCTTGCAAAGACTATTTCAATACATTCAAAAAAAATTAAAAATCCATCCTAATGAAATTCAATACATCTCCATTTACCACATAACTATTGTAATTATTCAATGAATACTTTGATAAAACATATGAAAAAAATATTAAAGTTATAAAAAAAGATGTTTCTTTTTTTCAAGTTTCTTTGTAAATATAGGTAATAAAGGCTACAACATAACAAGAAATAGCAAAGTTCTAAATAAAAAATTTATTGACATCTTGTATTCATTCTCTCACTAATTTTTTCAAAATTTCAAAATAATAATTTAACAAGATTTTAAACAAAGCACCAATATTAATTTTGATTACATAACAACTCTACTTCCTACAAAATATTCAACATGACAAGTACAAATTATAAAATCTAGCACATCTATGCATGACAATCCAAAAATCATAAGTAAGAGAACTATATGATATATATATTTATGAAGTCAAATTAAAACTAACTATGTAAAGGTGATTTTGTAATTATTATCATTCTTTTGTAATTTATTAAATTATAATATTAATCTTTTTAATTTACTTCATAATTCACCTTGCTGCACTTGCAAGGTTGTTTTAGATCATTTACAATTACATGTTTGTTTATTGGTTGTATGCTTGCATTATATAATATGTTACTTTGGATGGGCAAAGGTGAGTAAATGAATATTTGTGTCAAGTAAGCTGCAAGGTATTACTCATCTATAAGGATAGCTTTGTTTTATGCTTTTGTTGTTTGATTATTATGAATAGAAGTATGAAGTAGTGATAGCCATTTAGACAAAAGTTTGGTACTATAGTAACCTTGGGTGTCTATTTTGTGACACAATATTGTCAATTATAGTGGCCTTTAGAGGCTATTATAATACTTCAAGCTTAATAATGTGATATCTTCCATAATTCAATAACTTTTGTATTTATCAAGTTTATCAAATTACACATAGTTCACTTTATATATATATATATATATATATATATATATATATATATATTATATTAGATATTAGATTTATATTAGATTTTTTTTGTATCAATTATGTTAATATATATATTTTAGAATTTTTTATATTATTTATATTTTAATATAAATATAATATACAATTTAAGCATGTGTTTATATTTTAAACAAAGAATGAATTTGTATGCAAAAGTTACTTTTTGTAAAACTCTCTTAAAGTGAAATGATATACTATTTTTTCACAATATTATTTGTAGATTTTCATAATTTTTACTATTCTATTCAAATTAAAATAATTCTTTTAAAAAATAAATATATGATTTTTATAATTTTTCAAATAACTTCTATATATTTATTTAGATGGTTCTTAAATGTTGATGGAATTTAAAATTGCCTTACTTTAATTAATTCTACAAGAATTAGTATTTGTGTATGTTTGTATTTTTTTCTCCTACTTCCATTTATATAAATCTTAAGTATTCTAAAATTGAAAGAATGCAAACTCTCACACTTTGTATCTTAATCTACCAAAATATCTCTAAGTGTAAGAATAATTTATATTTTCAATGATTTAAATAGATAAGAGTATGATGAACAAGCTTTATTTTACTTATATAATAATAACTGATTAATTAATTTCAGTAAAAACATATTTAATAAAATTTGAGGATTATGAATTTTCCTTAATACTTTAATGAATATTTTGTTCGATGGCTTTAGAGAAACATAAATAAATTGGTGCAAAAAGGAATGGATTGCCACATAATATGGCAACATCTCTTGGTAATGTGGTAAAATTGTACTAACATGGTAACAATAATTAGAAACAATGTTATTTTTATTACAGTGATAATCTTAATCCATCCATTATAAATCATTTTTTACAAAAAAAAATCCATAAAATATATTTCTTGATTTTTATAACTTCAAAAAAAATGATCATCTTGAAAAAAGGAACATAAAATTAATAAAATTTCTTGGTTTTTTTTAAATTGTTAAAATTGAGATAAAGAAATTTAATCAAAGGTTTTCCAAAGCAATCAAACTTGAATTAGCTAAGAAGGAGAAGAAAGAAACTAATACAGAAAAGGAAAGAAATAAAAAAAAAAAACAAAAACAAAAATAAAAAAACAAAAACAAAAAATCACAAGAAAAACTTGAAAATCACATCACAAAAAAGAAAAAGGAGCCAACCACAACAACAACAACAACAAAAACCAACAAACAGCCCTCAAACGAAAAACCAAACCGCACGAGGCACAACGATGGGGAAGGGCACGGACACGTGTCCACAACCCCATATCCGGTCAAGGGAACCCAGGAGCGCGCCAGCAATACATATCGTCCACGAGGCAGGGCGGAAGAACGCCACGTGTCAGGTTAGGACAGGTCAACACTCTCTCTGTGCATCTCTTTCTGTGTGTGTGTATAGTGAGCGCAGGGCTGCTCTTTCAGGGTCAGTCTCTCATTCTCTCCTGCCCTCTCTCACTCTCGTTTACATTCCCTGCGTTGCGTTGCTTGCCCGTTATTCCTTCATTCTCCACCCTCTTCCTTCTCCTGCTTCGTGCGTTGTTTGGAGTTTCCAGGTGGGTTTCTCTTTCTTTCTCTTGGTTTCTCTTGCATCTCTGTCCTGTTGATTGGTCCCATTTTTGAGCTGGTAACAGGGGCTGTGACTATTGTCTTGCTAAGGATTCTGTTCGGTTATTGCATTGTCATCAGAATTGGGTCGTTTGGTTGTATGGCTAACTAGGAGGGTTATCCTCGTGGTTTACGTTTTAAGGCTGTCTGTTTATTTTTTGGAGACACTCCAAATTATTTTATTTTATTTTATTTTATTTTTTGAAAAAAATATTTGTGTGATTTTGTTGTGTAAAAGATTGGATTGGATTTTAGTGGTTAATGTCAGTGATTGTGGGATTTTTATTTTCTTTTTTCTCTTCTCTTGGGAAGTGGAGCTTACGTGTGACATGACCTTGAACTGCAGACTTTCAAGATGGTAAGGGCTCACGTAAGTGCTTCTGTGAACACCCCCCATGCCGACTTCTTAGTCGACTTGGGTCACCCATTATTAAATCGAGTCGTTGATGGGTTTGTCAAGGTTGGAGGAGTGGGCGCTCTGCATGCTGCTTCTCAAGATACCTACCTATTTTTGCTCCAAGGTTTGTCCGCCAGGACCTATTCTGATGCTTTTATACCTAATCACTTGCCCATATCACCAAGAGATATCTTCCTCTTGTATCATTGCAGGCCCTTTCTTTGATGAATTTTCGATGGCGTGGCTCTTGAGATGGCATTTCCGTGCACCACAGTCTTAGAGTATTCGTGTTCAACATATTTGTTACAGTCAGCATAGTTGACTCTGAAAGGTTTTATTTTGTGCTTTGAAATGTGCAGAGGAGACGAACAAGAAGTCTTTGGAAAAGACCGTTCAGCGTATGGGCAAGGAGGCCGTGCAATGGGGCCTTGTCGCTGGAGTTTACACTGGCATGACCTACGGCATGCAAGAGGCTCGTGGTGTGCATGACTGGGTATGATATTTTTTCACAATGCGGTATTTACAAAATGACATGTAGTAACGTTCATTTCGGAGCCAGTCCTGATGGAATAGTTTGGAAGGTATGACGTTTACTTATGAACGTCCGACTGTTTGCAGAAAAACGCATTGTTGGGAGGAGCCTTGACTGGAGCTGCTCTTTCTCTGACTGAGCCCAACCCTCGTAGTGACCGAGTTGTCCGTGGAGCAATCACCGGTGGAGCCATTGCCACCGCCGCCGAGTTTTTGCGTAGCCTAACGTAGATTTTGTGGTATTGATCTGTAAAGAATGTTTACAGTTACTGTGTGATTCTGCAGTTGAACCCATCTGTCAATCATAACGATGGGAATTGCCCTCTTGGTGGCATCTGTAAGAAATGTTGGATCCGAGGCTTTCTCTATTCTTTTTGAGTGAGCATGAATTTTTAGAGCTTGTTACATAAATGCAGTGTGCTTTCATCTACGATAATTTCTTCCACTGTCGCAAAGTACAAAATCAAATTCTGGGGCGTTTTGTTACATAAGATAGTATGTGTTTGCATGTGTCTTCGATCGGAACTCCCTCTGACTGTGATTACAATAACCTATTTCTGTGTAGCTTATGTCTGATTTAAAACGGATTGCTGCCGGATTGCTACATTGCTAGCGTAGTAGGAATCCTGATCAGTGAGTATCAAATTTCTTTATGTTTCCGCGCCGAATTTCTCAAGTGCACTACATTAAAATAAGAAAACGAGTTGTCGTCGTTAACTATGCTAGGAAATGTCCAAAGTATAGCGCACGCCAAAGGTCTGTCACAAGCTCACTTGCAGTGTCCCATCTTTTTTTTACACTTGAATAGCAGCGGCAGTGTCACTTATCAAAGGTCGAACATGATCATAGCCAACCATACATTGAATCATTCTTTGACTCTATCATCTCCCGCACGATAAAGTTTCAAAATATGTTAGCCAAATTATATTGTTTGCGCAATGCTCTACCACGTCCACCAACGAGGCTGTTGATGTTGGAAGAAAAAATTACATTTTTTCTGGAATATTCATGAAATGTACGCAAGCTATAGGACAATTCATCAATCCATCAATGAGACACGTATTGCGAAGAATGCTGAATTCCACCAACGGTCTCTGCTGTTCGTTCAGTTCCACAGAAATTAATACTGACGGCATCTAGGAATAAGTTTTGTCCAGCAGTGAGAGAAGTGCGTTGCATACAAATTATGCTGGCAACGCCTGAAGTATCTCAGCTGGGGATGGATTAAGAGCAAAAGCCCAGTGCTCGTCTGCCTGCAGCATCTTCCGGAACGCCGGTCGTGAGGCAAGGCTATCGTACCAACGCTTCACATGTTTCCGGGTAGTAATAAGTTCAGGCTTGAGTGTCATCACTCTCAAAAGACTTGGGGCAATGTTCAAATCCACTACGCTGTAAAAATCGCCAGCTAGGTACTTAGTCTTGGACAACTGAGATTCGCAAATGTCGAAAAACGTGGCGAGCTTGTCATAGAAGGGTTTCAAGACTCCTTCGTTTAGGGGGCGTTCTTCTCTCCGACCAACATAGTACTCCAAGCTCCAAGGTAAGAAAGAGAAGCTAAATTGATACGCTTCGGCTTCTGACCACTGATCGACAATTGCTTGCTCCTCCAGCGTACTCCCAAAGAGACTTGGTCCCTGGCCTTTGTATTTCCGGGCTATGTAACGCACTATAGCTCGGGATTCTGCGCACAAATGGTGTTAATTGCATTAACAGTTTTTTTTTAAATAATAATAATAATCTGAATTATCCACACCTCAGTGAAATAAATGTAATAAAAAGTTGGTAAAAAAATGTAAACTACAGGTGATCAATGAGGTATGACGCACCATACAGATGAAAGTCACCACACTCGAACACTGGAACTTGTTTAAAAGGCTGCATCACAGTCCAGTTTTCCAAGTTAGATTTCAGTCATTGCGAACGTACATGCACCTAAAGCTTGAGACTTCGTGACTTGAGTCAAGAGCGGGGGATTCTTCACCGTCATGGAGGTCCATGATGGAGCGTCGTGCTCTCCAGCTTTTAAGTATACTTTCACCAACTCAAAATCTTCAACCTGTTACATACAGTTAGGAAGTGAAGAATTATATTCAAAGCTTAGAGGAGTAAATCTGTTCCTGAAATGGTTAAACTAAACGTTATGCAGAAAATGGTATTCAGCTGAAATATTCATGCACTGTCGCTCCTGTTGACAACCTCAATTGGTTGTCTAAAGAGGATTCGAGAGTCCACAAAGTGAACATGTACGATCCTTCGGCATTTTCGTTACTCAAAAAGAATAGCTTACATGTGCAGATCCACGATAAATACTCACCGGATAGTTCAACAAAACGAATTGCACTCAGGTTAGTCAAGACAACACATTGTACCATCGAGAGCTAGCGTGGGTGTATTACTCTGTATGAGAGCGAGAGACCCTTGTTCCAACCACCCAACCTACTTCCTTGCTCTGCTCAACAATGACATTTGATAACTCCATTCATATCCACGACCCATCAAAAAGCCATACCCCGAACTCTAGGAGAGCCAAGGTCACTCTCTGACAGTTGTAAGTAGCAATGCCGTAGACTTTGATTCCCATAGCTCCACGTCCTTTGAATCCTTCGCCTTGTTGCACCAGTCTGTGGCTTACACAACAACAGCACTCTGTGTTCCTCAACCACAGAAAAGCACGGTAACCCACATGGCGATGGAACCCTCAAAACTCATTCAAACAACGATAACCAAATCAGAGCAGATAAAACATCCATTACGAGAACAACTTGTCTGGGCTTACTAAGCGAGAAAAGATCCTGCGCTCCTCTCCCCATCCCCCCCAAACTCCCAACAACCCAATTCCACAACCTACTTCAATGTCCAAAGGAATCCAAGTCACAAGCACAGAGAGAGACGAAACATACAGCACACAAAACGAAAGAGGAACCCACTACAACACCAGCCTCGAGTAAGTTACAGACCTCGCACAAGCCTCAAAGTTGGTATTGGTCTGGGATGCGCTGCACAGACAAAAACATTCAATCAGCTGCAACAACAACACGATCAAACTCATCGTGACTACGCAAGTCCAGCGAAAGAAAAAACATGAAAAATGGATGAAAGTTTTGAGCCGGTATCATCCCTTTCTTCATTCATCCACCTGCAACGCAGTCTGATTTGCATGTGATTTGCATGTGATTCACCTGCACTTTGTGTCAGTGGTCCATGGCTGCGATAATGATTCTTATCTTTTATAATTTAAAAATAAATAAATAAATAAATAAATAAAAGTAAAGGACCACATATATTAAAATCACACACGTGAGTCAATAGAAAAAGATAATTAGTTTCATGGTTCAGGCTTTTTTATTTTTTTTATTTTTTTAATTCCTTAAAAAGCTGTTTAGAACTAGAAGATTTTTACACTTAGAGACCTGTTTTGATAGGTCATGGTTTGAAAGTTGTGTGAAGGTTTCTTGCTTGGTAGGCATTTAAAAAAAAGTTGTTCTTTGAAGGCTTTGGCCTTTGGAGATAGTGTAAAGTGAGAGGAGACTATGACATGGACCAAAACATTATTTTATTGTGATTCTATAAAGGTCTTTATACTTTGTGGGCAAGGTGAGAGGCCACTATTTTTAAATCCCTTAATTGGTTGAAAATACAATATATTCTTTTCTTTTCTTTCCTTTCCTTATTTTATTTTGTAGTTGGAAAAATCAACCAAGAAGCTCTATGCTACAAAGATGAGGTAGACTATACTTATTTCTTACATGGCATAAACAATATTGTCTCCTATTACCAAAAAAATGGTCTATTTTGTAGCCACTTTTTATTTTGTATTATTTCTAATAATCAATTCTTCTAAAAGAGACTTTGTCTTTACTAAGTAGAAGACTTTATTAATATTTTTATATTTTGGGTTTCTAAAATGATCCTCTAAATATAAAGACCCTCTAAATATGACATCTTACATCTTCATTGTGATGAATATAACAAACATAAAATATTTTATATTATTAAAAATTAAATAAGTGTTTTGAATTTTTTTTATATGACTTCTCAAATTTTTAGAATCTTTTATTTGGTTTTTTCTTATTATATTTCTAAAAATAAAAAATAAACACTCAAAACATAAAATTGTAAAAACTGCATCTTGTAGATGGAATAAACATGTATTTTGGGAAACAACACAATTTATGCCATGTAAATATAATAAAATATATAGCCTCATCTTTTTACCTCATGATTTCTTACTTTTCCTTTCCTAAAAATAAAACCAACGAAGATATATTATTCGTATTAATTTAAATTTCAGACAATTTCAATCTTAGAAAGTTATATCATCTTGCATTCTCTTGTAAGTCTAAAAATTCTTTAAATTTATGTGTAATATTTTTTAAGATTATATATTTATGATTAAATGCAAATATGAATGTATAGATGTATTGGTACACATAAAACTTAAATATTAAATTATTCAAAAATCAAAATATACAAAAAAATATACAAAAAGAAAATCATTAAATTGTATAGATGTTAATTTGGTCTTTGTAAATAGCAACACCACGGAGTTTCTTAGTGCCATTAAGATAAGACATTCTTGAAGTCTTATTTTAGAAATACAAATTATTATGGCATTAAAAACAAATTGAAATTTTAAACTCCTTATTAAGTATTGTATCTAATAAAGTAATTTCTTCAATAAATAAAAGCTTAATTCATCAATGAATTGAAAGAAACTATTGATGACATGACAAGTAGAAATGCTTAAAGTATTGGTAGAAAAGGGATTTTTATTTTTTATTTGGAATATTATGAAAGATTATATTTGGATAATTAATTAATCTAATAGTATTGGTTTCTCTCTTAAATAATTATGAGAAGATATATTATTCTTCTTTACAAAACATGCAATAAGACTTTGCTTAATAATTGGAGAATAATTATTATTTTAACACCTTCTTCAAAATATTTACTTCAGTATTTCAAGAAAAACTAATTTTTTTTTTATTATAGATGATTCTCTTAGATAAAATTAAAATTATACTGATTTATATAAATTTATAAAATATTTTTGTAACTAAAGAAATTACCTATTGGATAAAACCTCAAAAACCATCACTTCTTTTTTTGAATAGATTTATCTAAAATTTATAATAAAGTATCTTAGGAATTTATTTTTAAGCTAAAATAAAATTAAAATTTTATGTTTATTTTATCTACATGATAAGATTTATAATATATAAAAATGAAATGTTTAAATTTAATATTTTACTTGCAAAATAATTTTCAATTGAAAAAAGTGTTAAATTGGGATGTCATTTATCTTTGCATCTATTTATTAATTTTAAGAAATACTAAAGCTTTCTTTTCAGAAGGATATTGAAGATAAAAATAATTATATGAAATTGACATTCTATGGAATTTAGACAAATTAATTTTATTGCATGTATGCCAATAAAACTTATACAAGTATTAAAGACAAAAAATAATGCAAAATCCTTAATTTACGACTTTTTTTAGTTAGGTTGAGTTTGGATCTTAAAATACAATGATAAAAATTTGATTCCTATTTGCAGTATATAAAATAGAATAACATTCTTGGATTTACAGAAATTGATGGACCTAAATATCTACTAAAAATTTATTAAAATGTTTAGAAATAACATTTAGTTACATCTACAAATTCAAGATATTGACTAGTTGTACATTTATATAATAAACTTTGAGTTAGAATATTGGTGTTCTATTGAATTTAATGTGCTAGGACATGCTATAATTTTTAATAGTATTCTTCTTTTATCATTGTATTTGCTTTTAGTCTTTCTTTTTAATCTTTGAAAGTTATTAGTAATATTAAAACAATGATAATTTTGTTGGTTTGAAATAATACAATACATTGAACTTAAATGATGTTTAACTTTGGAGTGTTTTCATTGTTATCTTCTATTCGAATAAAAAGCTATAAAATAGAAGAAAATCAATTTTCTAATTTTGGAGACTATATTGGTCTAATTATAAGAATATTTCTTTTGTAGTGGTATTTTAATTATTCACTCAATACTTAGAAGCTGAAGAAAATTCTTGGTTTTCTTTGCCTAAACCTACTTAAAGTAAATTTTATTGGATAGGTTTTCCATCTAAAGTAGTATATTATTATAATAATTTATTATTTATACAAAAATACACTCACCTCAATAACTCAAAGAAATAAGTAAAATAGTTTTTTTTGAAAGTGGCTAGATTGGCTCTTAAAACAAAATTAAAGATTCAAACAATGATTACATCAACTTACTTCTTTGGTTTCAATACTTATTATTGCTTCAATAGATTTGGTTTGTTCACATTCAATACAGAACTAGACACAACCTAATTATGCAAAAATCAGTGCCTCAAAGTTGCTTGAAAATACATAAGAATATAGATAAATAGTATAAACTATAAATATAAATCAGTTTAATTATTCTTATATTGACCTAGTATAAGTGTTAAAATATAATTTTATTTGTTCTTTGCATTTACTTTTAACTCAATCAGAGCAGTGGACATACATTATTTTGTACAAAACTAAAATAAAAATAAAAATAAAAATAAGTAGAAACCAATATATGAACCCTACCTAAATTTTTACTGGCTTTGTAAAAATTTGAATGTACAAAACAACAACAATAAACAATTCTATTCGTAGACTTCTTTCTATACAGAGATTTTTGTACAAGAACATCCATCTTTAGGTCATCCCACCAATGAAATTGCAAAATGTGTCCTATCAATTTGATTTGAAAATTATTTATAATTATTATAAATAATTATATATGTATATATTATTGATTAGACAAGTACAATATTGTAGTAAATTGATACTTTTTTTAGAGATGGTATTAATATCTTTAATTTCCTCTATTATTAAGTTAAAAGAAAAGTATCTTTGTTCAATAGTATTTAAAATTCTTAATCATTTTCTGACTCTTATCATCACCCACTTTTGTAATCCATGAGTCTTTCTGTCATTTTTCAAATGAGATAATATTTTGCATTGTAAGTTTTTATTATCTTTTCTTTTTTCTTTTTTCTTTTTATAATATTTTGCTCAACAATGGTAAATTATTTTGCATCATTACTTAGTAAAGAACACAAATAGTATTAATGTATACATTTTTATTTTTAGATTTATTATTAATTTGATTTGATCAGTTTAGTAGAAATTAAAAGTACATATACATATATACATATGGATTTTTTAGAAATATTTTTCATAATTCAGGCTGTAAAATCAAATAATATTTTATGTTCAGTAAAGAGAAATTCCAAGCTTTAAAACACAGCTCTTATTTTTAAATATTAAAACGGATACATCCACCTCCCAGATATATTTAAACTATGATATTTTTTAAATTATTAGTGGCACTTATAGCCAATTTTCTAATGGTTGGATTTGCAACATGGACATCGTTCATCCAAATATCTAAGATGGATGAATTGCGTAAGACAGTTCTGCTTCATAATTTGCCGAATTGGCGTAGGAGTGGGGGCGGTGTCTTCGTCTCCCTCCCGTCCTCGACGTCTTCTTCTTCGAGGTCTTTCGATTGACGATCTCGGTGGATGCTCTTGTTGCTGTCACCACAGATCGGAGGTTTCTCTCGGTGGATTTTTGTGGGATTCGCGTTAATTGCGTAGATTGGTGGGATTTTTTGTTTGGGCCACTTCGGATCACAAGTTTTTTGGGTTCGACGCTATGGATTCAAGGCTGCACAGGATTTTTGCTGGGGGCGGTTCTGGAGGTGGACCGCATCCAGATTCACCCCTCGTTGATTCGTCGGAGCAAGTGTACATTTCCTCTCTGGCGCTGCTCAAAATGCTCAAACATGGTACGCTGCTTGAATCATAATATACCAGGACCGTTTTGTCATTTTTATGTCCAATTGCAGGCGAACTTCTTGTGCGAATTCAATTATTGTTCTTACTTGGTGGTGTTGTTCAGACAAATTTATTCTGTGGTTAGTGAAGTCTAGATTGGAGACGTAGGTTTGCCGTGGTTGTGTTTTGGAGTCGTATCCTGTGTTCGTTGTGCTTAGTCCATCCCCGCTGACAGTAATAGTACATTAGGGTTCGGTCTATTGTCTAAAGAATTTAAATGACTTGCTCTTCGTTGGGAGGGCTTGGATTCAAATTGGTGACAAATTTGGACGATCGTGCAGGTAGAGCTGGAGTGCCTATGGAGGTGATGGGGCTGATGCTTGGGGAGTTCGTGGACGAGTACACTGTTCGTGTTGTGGATGTATTTGCTATGCCACAGAGTGGAACAGGTGTAAGTGTGGAAGCAGTTGACCCTGTCTTTCAAACGAAGATGCTTGATATGCTCAAGCAAACTGGTCGGTAGGGCTCTCTCTCCTCCTATAGCATCATGCCCCCCCCCCCCCTTTTTTTTTTTTTCCCCTCTGTCTCTTCTTGATATCTCGAGTGGTTGAAGTTTGTGCATGGAAGGGACTCGATGCGGAGCTACTTATATTTGATTCATGCGTAAACTGAACGTGATGTGTACGAATATGTCTAAAATACTAGAAATCACCTTGATGCCTGTGTTGTTTGTGTTCTGCAGACCAGAGATGGTGGTGGGCTGGTACCATTCTCATCCAGGTTTTGGTTGCTGGTTGTCTGGCGTGGATATCAATACTCAGCAGGTAATTTAGGTTTATAATTAGGTTTGGCATCTTTTTGTTAAAGTGGTTGTTATGAACACATACAAAGATGTGGTGAACAAATTGGTGGAACGTTGGTTTTAATGGACTGGGTAGTTTGTGAAAAAATATGTCTGTTGGGTTTGTTTTAGTCTTAAGGTTTCTTTTCTTTTCTTTTCTATTTCTCTTTATAAAAATGCTTTTAGGTATGTTTTACCTTTTTTCTGTAACATAATTCTTGTGGATATGCAGAGTTTTGAAGCTTTGAATCAAAGGGCGGTAGCAGTAGTAGTGGATCCAATCCAAAGTGTGAAAGGAAAGGTTGTGATCGATGCTTTTCGATTGATCAACCCTCAAACAATGATGTTGGGACAGGAGCCCAGACAAACCACATCGAACGTTGGACATCTTAACAAGCCCTCCATCCAGGTTCTTATGTGCAAACATCCCTAATGTTTTATGTTAATATGTGCCCCCTTTGGTGAAAGTATCACTCTATGGATCCATTCATATAAAAGGAGTGTCCGTACAGTCATTTAGAAAGTGTCACGCTCTGGTAAGGCTATTTTTTTGTACATTTCATTCGACGCTGCAGAGGATGCAGAATGTAAGTGGGTTGCATCGTACTATTCTCTAGATATTAATGATATTAACCTACATTAATGGTTGTAATGTTTCACAGGCTTTAATCCATGGATTAAACCGACACTACTATTCAATCGGAATTAATTATCGGAAGAATGAACTAGAAGAGAAAATGCTTTTGAACCTTCACAAGAAGAAGTGGACTGATGGACTTACTCTTCAGCGATATGACGAGCATGGAAAAACTAATGAAGCCACAGTGAAAGTGAGTCTTTTTTGCACTGAACAGTCCTCAAGTTCTAGATGTAACACGAAGTGGATGAATCTATGTGCGCTTTTACAGTGCAAGTCCTAGGCATGTCATACAGTAGTTATTCTCTTTACTTAATTGTTGAAGCTTGGTCTTTAACGTCAAGGCTGTGGTCTTCAACTGAGATTTGGGTGGGACGCTCGCAGGAAATGTTGGATTTAGCAATCAAGTACAATAAAGCTGTGCAGGAGGAAGACCAGCTTAGTCCAGAGAAATTGGCTATTGTCAATGTGGGGCGTCAAGATGCGAAGAAGCACCTAGAAGAGCATGTCTCTAATTTGATGTCGTCTAATATTGTACAGACCTTAGGGACCATGCTTGACACCGTTGTCTTCTAGTTGGCGTGATTTATACGGTACTAAAGAACTGTTTTCGTTTTGATGAACTGGATAGAGGTAGGTTATTTGAAGGTTAATGAAGCTGTTATTATTTCAATCTTATACTGTATCTTTGTACTTGTCACATGAATCAAAGAACTATTTGACAATCATGTTCTGTCAAAAAAATTCATTTGAGGTTGACGGGGGGTTTTTTGAGTTCATGTCTTTTTCTTTTCCTTTTCCACGTGCATTTGTTATAAATGGTTTCAAGAATGGGGCTGCATGCTCACATGGGAGTTGAGATTAGAAATTTATGCTCCAGCCTCGATTATGCAGTGTGTGTGCGAAAAAAGAAACTTCATTGCAGCAAATCTGTTACACTTTCATTCAGTGTTGACTGTGGGTGTATTAAGATTTTATTTACAGTCTGTTAAGTTGGGTTGTGTTGCAAACGCAGCTTGAAGATACAGGTTATATAACCACCTTGTTTGCCATAACTACGAGGTTTTAGCATAGAAACAGACTGGTCCAGATCCCCTAATGTCCTATGATTTAGAGATTGGTACAGGACGGATTAAGTGGATATCCATGTTCATCGCATGGCCAATGACCAAAGAGAATGAAAGGGGTTTGAGTGAGAATGTGGGACTCACACACACAAGAAAGCATGGGCATGTAGATTGAGTGTGGGAGACAGTCATTTCGCAACCCTGAAGGACACACCCTTAGTTATTACTGTTGTAGCAAAGGGTTTTTGTACACTATATATCAAGCCCGAACACATGGACCAGGGTCCTTCAGTCCTTGCCCAGAATGTGATTTTGATGCTTCCCACATGTGGTGACTTGTAGGTACACACATGCAAAAAGCACCAATCAAGCCAGTAAGTAGCTGCAACAAGTTTTTTGATTTTACTCACATGATGTCTCTAGGGTATGCTTTGTGGTCAATTCAACTTACACAAGTCACTTCCCTACCTTTGTTGTACTGTACAACATATACCCAGAACTCGGAGAGTGTAATTCAAGCTTTGTCATCTTGTTGGCCCTTGAATTTCAACTGTCGAATGTGCGCAATGTTTGGTGGAATGTTGAGGCTATTCTGTTTGGCAACTCAGCTGCTTTTTGCAGTCGCATGTATTCAGGTCTATGCAATGATGCTGTTGTTGAGGAAATATTTATGAACTACTGCTCTAGGAATCTTTTGGAAGAATTTCACCACATGTATTAGTTGCAGAATCTTCCGGTAATAGTCTACAGTAGATCAGACGCCATCGGTTGCTAGCGGGCTGCTACAGAGGATTCTCAACCTTCTCTTTTGGAAGGTATGAACGGTGTCGAAAGCTTCTCAAAAGATCCTCTAGAAATTATTCATACTCTTAACAAACAAAATATTCTGCGTACAAGTTAAACACAGACCAGACAACAAAGCTGACATGGTGGGGTACAGTGTATTGGATAGAATTTGATGCACAAGAGGTACTCGGTATTTAGTAGCAGAAGTGAAAACTATGTCGAGGCGAAATGGACAAAAACCTTTAATTACCCATGCACATCTAATTACATTTTATACACAGCTAAGACCTAAACACTTTCTCTTGCTTTTGCGTCTTATTGAACAAAAATGCCGCTTCATCCACAGTGAAGGTGTTCGCATTCTACCAGACTCTGACTTCTCAAAAGCCAGTGTCGATAAGATCTAATACACTACCTCTATTTACCGGTTACACGCCGCCTATGATTCCTCGCTTAAGTTGATAGAGAAGAAAGCAGATGAGGAGACCGGTGAAGGTGGGCTTGCAATGGGCGGAGTGCTTGGTGTATGTTCTGCACTTCGCTCAGCATAGCCAGAATACAACGGATAGAAATTGCGTGCAGGAATTCCATAAGATTGAGTTGCTGGGTATCCGATGACTGCGACCACGTCTGAAATGCCCGAGAGGAAGCGTGGCATCTCAATTATCCAACTATCTTGATCTTTGTCTGTGAAAGCATTGCATTGAAATTAATTAAATTGGCAACACATAAGTGCATGAACATGAACCATTTAACACCGCAACCGTCACACCGTTTGATGGATATGAGTTCACAGAGAGGGAGCACTAGTAGATCAAGCAACATGTTTAAATTATCGGGAAAACGCTTGACAGAAATGGAGATTAAGAAAGACCCTCGCAATCTACATGGAGGCACCGATGAAAGAGAGAAGAATTGGCCTTACCCAAGGCGTACATCATCTGCTGAATCGTAGCTCCAGTCAGGTTTACGCAGAGGCTGACAATCCCCTGCGTTCGGCCGGAGGGTCTCTGCAGCGGTAAAGCGACAATGTCACCCTCCTCTGAGTTTGTTTTCGTGGCCTTCATTCTTGCAATGTCTCTCAAGGCCAGGTGGGTAGATCCAACCAATCTTGGGCTCACGGTTCCGGCACTATACACCTGCAGCCCACCAGCGGCAAATTAGTTCTTCATAACATACTTCGCATCTTGATGTGCATGCATTTGGGAGCCTAATTTGCCCTGAGCGTAACAAATTCTTGAGATGGGCGTGAAGAGGAATCAGAACAGGAAAAGGTACATGAGATCTGACCTGAATAGTGAGGGCGGAACAGGGGTGGAGAAGAATGTCATCAGTCACTGGGAAGGACAAGGCATCGTTCCAAAAAGGGTTACGACCCGCCTTGCTATGCACAGATGTGGTTCTTTTGTAATCGGGCGCCACCCACGCCACAGCGTACACGCTCATTTTTCTCAAAATGTTCACGTTCTTGAGACCCTCGGCTGCTAAGACTATGACCTCCAACGTGGGCCCCGACATTGGTGCTCCCATTTGATTGATCGAGTAATGTGTTTTAAAGAGTGACTACCCTCTCTGCTTCGCACAAATCACACTTGAAGCAGCATTGATTCTGATTCTTGCATGAAACGATTACTCAGAAAAGGGGAACGCAGCTTGTGAGAGATTTCAGACGACGCGATTTGATCCTCCGGCCGCGGATCAATTCCTTTCTTTCCATTCTGCGCAAATTTTGAAGAAAATAATGGTCAAGCGTCACAAAGGTAGCTCAGATCTTTGGAAACCACCCAGCTGATGCGGAGAGCTCACTGCGCATCTCCACATACAGCAGCTGCAAGAAATCGATTATGATTCTATCAGAGAAATAGAGGCGTCGAATCAAGGGAAGCTTTAGGAAGATGATATCTATGATGGCGTCCAAGATTACTATTCTACGGCAACCCACACCCACTAGGTACTCATGATCAGCCATTGTTGAGAAGCTTGTGAGTGTGAGTATCGAAGTGGTAAAGCACAGACATTAAGGAGGTTGTGCGAAATTTGCAAAAACATTTGACCTGGCAATGGAAATTCATCGGGGAAAAGTTGAAGTCTACAAGGAGCAGCGAAAGAACATCCCTCGGTAGCCAGTGACTTCATCAACTCAAGAATTCTGTTCCAGCGACACCCACCTTCCTCCTCCACCGCCGCAATGTCTTGAAAGCACGCGAGTTCTTTTGCTCAAAAACCTTGAAGGTTTGCGAATCGAACGGAGTCTATCAACTAAGTCGCAAAATCCAGAAAACTCCAAACAATCCAGCATGAAACCACGCAAAAGTAACTCTAATAAACAACCAGACATCCTGCTATCAGTCGCTTCAGACCATCCCAGCTCAGCGGTACTGTCCGACAAAAACTTATCATTCTTTCCGAAATTGCGCTAGTTTTCGATCACAAGCGAGGTTCCCACAGGGATTGGGAGCTAAGCTCTCAAAGCGCTTGCCCAAAAAACTGAACGGTGCCCCACTTTCCTCCCAATCCCGTAAACGATGCTCTTTTTCTCGCTCGTCGGGGTTCATTGCTTGTTGCAGTCGGTTGTACATGAATTGACTGCGTTGCCCGCCTCCAGGTACATCACGTACGACGCAGTTCAGATTGATTTCGCAATCAGGTACCATCGTCTGAGACGGGTGATTGGACATCGCTGTCATTACTCACAACAGTGTCCATGACAGCGGAGAATGACAGCCTCGGCATCAGAATGAGACTCTTGCAAGTGTTAACTTCCTGATTTTCTGCAAATCTCTGGTCGCGGTGTTGCTTGAGCCCAATAGACGACTGATCTTGCAACAGGGTAGGCTCGAGAAATTCAGAAGAAGTCGCAAGGTTGACACTCTTAGTTTGAGGGCAGTGCAAGTTCTATACTGAATGACACTCTTATTACTGGGATGTGCGCGTCATTCCTTCTCACGATTTACTAGTTGTTTGTCTCGGACTCTTAAGTCTCTTCTTATAGAAGATTTTCATGAACAAGCTTACTCCCAGAATCTGCCAGAAAGTGCGTAAATGAAACTTCAGAGTTATTCTAAGAATAGGAATTTTCGGTGTTGATGGCGTAGAATTCAACGAACTTTGCTGAAGTCGGTTACCATCAATGGAGAAGAAATTTTCTGAGAGAGAAGCACCTCTTTTACAGCAGTGCTGGGAATACCACAAAATGCTTGTACCCTGTCCACACTGAAAGTGTCAGAATGGCTCAAACAAAAAGTTCTGAAAAAGACAGATGCCTTTAGAAAGAAGGCGAGAGCTCAAATAGTAAGCAGAGAACCGGCACGTGATTTTCTTTAAGGTCTGCGACGCGAGGCGTGCGTAGTCCATAGTATATCTGTTGAGCTCTGTGGAGGTCCCCACAATACACGCAACATCGTTGTGTATTTTGCTAGGTCCAAAAGCACATCGATTTCAGGCCAACTGCAAATGCAAGTATTAAAAATCTTCAAAACTGCATGTTGCTTTATCAAATAAACACTTGATAGACACAGCAGCAAATAAATGCATTCTGCTACGTCGCTAAACATCCTCCGAAATCACAATGTAAGCTCTGTTGCATTTCATCAGCACCCACGTCGACAAAAAGCACCCTAAAGACCAACGAGGTGGCTGCACATGGTGTTCCTGAGCTGACCGGATGCCAGAGGGCTAGATGAGGGTCGAATAGGCAGACCGCCGTTGTCAGCGTAGAAAATGTGAAGCTACACTCACGTCTACCACATTCGACAAAAAAGCAACTGATACCAGATCATGTCTTTGTAATGAAGGAGCAAGGGAAGTCAAACCTGAGCAAGTCACTGTCAGAAAGGTACGCCGGCCGCTCACTTCTCGATCAGACCAGAAAGTGCTGAGCAAGATAAGATAGTGATGATAGCTCCCATTCAACTTCCACGCTCAGTGCTTTCCGGTAGCTTCAATCCTCCATGCCTACTTAACACAGTCCTGCAGTTCTGTAGTCTCACGAATACCACAAAACATTGTTTCGTCTCCCCATTGCCTTTCCCCATTGCCATATGTTGGAGGTGGTAGTGATGTTCACTGACGATAGCCCTAATCGAAGCGTAGGTAAACGGAGACGAACCAATGGAACAAGGCTAACTGTAGAATTTACCCTGCGACGACAGTGATGAGTTACCCGCGCGGACACGTACAGGAACATCGAAACTGTGGTGAAGTTTTAATTTGAGAGGAAGAAGTTCCTTTTGAACAAATCCACGTTTCGATATCTTAGCTACAAGAGTGGTTTTTCTGCAGCACGTAGCTGGATGCTCGTGATGGCGAACGCTGTTAGTGAGTCTACAATCAGCACCAGATGATGTGGTTGTGTAGTTGCCTACAACAAGTTTTGCAAACAAGACCCGACAAATCCTGAGGTGGAAATAAAAACAGCTTTAAAATTGCTGCTTAGAATCAAAACCAGTTAAACCAAACCAACAAGGGCTCTATAGTCTTACTGACCTGCAGAGCGAGACTGGCATTGAATGCAGGAAACACAACAGCGTGATCATCTTAAATTTTCTCATCTGAAGGTTTGAATGCAGTGACAACGGCAGGTCATCTTCACAGTTGCGACATCACTTGACCATCGGATGCCATTGACCGTCAATCAAGTCTTTTCACCGGCAATTTGACATGGTCCGCGAGGCTTAGTGCTCACAAGCATTTCACTATCCGTCAAGAAAAGCAGCGATCATCTCCTCTCCCCGACTTCACAGACCTTAGATATCATCGTCACGGACTGCTTGCTCCCCACATTCAGACTCTGTGTGAAAACCAACAACCTTCATGGCGTTCAATACCAGTGATCCAAACAGTACACGTAGCAGCAACGGGCCAACTTCCAGCTGTGAACGATGCTGCGATCTCGTGAAGGAGAAGAGGAGGCTGTGAGGGAAAAATACAACGAAGTTCTGCAGTTTTCGCTTCAGTTTTCTTCTGCTGATCTCGCAGAAAGCAGACTAAGCTGGCACTTTGACGGGGTTTGAAGGTCCATTGCTTGATTTCGGCGCTGCCCATGTCGATGATTGTTGTGTGAATGGTGCCATTTCTGCACAGGAACCGTGATCGAGCACGGCCATGATACCGACACTGCGGCGCCGCAACGTTGACTGATCAACCATTTTTTTTCCACTGTCGTCGACACGCTACTTCAAGTTTTCTCTTTTGAATTGTTGAACATGAATTTGTACTTTAACATCTTTATTCAAAACTGTTGAGATGTGGAAAAACAAGTTTGTAGCATATGTGTTTACATTACCAGAAATTGTACTAAAAATAATAGTATTGAATCTTGGAATTAAGTGATTATTTATTGATGTTTAAATGATTTTTCTCAATTGCTTTATTTACGTTCAGAAAAGTCAAAGTTTATGTTGTGTAGACTGGATAAATTCATAAAAGGATTCAGTTAGAAATTCTATACTAAAATCTTCACCAAAGCAAAATCTGAACAGATGTGATGTGCATGTTGATCATTCATTTTTTTAACAATTACATTTTGTGAAAGCCTGTGAACGTCATGATCCATTTTTTTATTTTTACAGAATAGGTATAATTACTGCTAAAAAAACGGTCTGCATGCCTGTGTAAAAAGTCATCTACATAGCAAATAGTGTAATTAATGATCTTATACATTTACAAATTGTCTAAAGTATTAAAAAGAAAAGAAAGAATGATATTCAATAAAGAAGAAAGAAAATGAAGAAGTGGTGAATGATTATTCATTCACAAAGAATTAAACTTAAATAACTAAGTTGAAAGATTGGCATTGACACAATCATTTGTGTGAAAAATATCAACGTGAACCATTGCATCATTAGTTTATGTAATAAACAATAGTAGCTTGTAAGTATTATAATTATAATAGTGTAATAAAATTGTTGTTGCATGGAATTAGTATAACTTTAATATCTATGCAAGTTATGCTAATTTTTTTGCTTATTTCTTAGGTCAAAACTTTGAATCACCATATACAAAGGAAGCAGAATCTTTTGAACTTCCGGATCTCAATCACAGTCATAATTTCATAAAAGAAAAGAGAAAAGAAATGAAATCATGTGTTTTGGTAGAACTAAATATTTAATTTCTCAAATAAATAACCATGTAACCAGGGGAGTTTTTATTTTTTTGATTAAGAGCATGAAATACCTTACGATTTTTCAAATTACTGGTAATTCCTATTTACGTTATTACAACCTCAATATGTTGTGTTTTCTTTTCGCATTATACACACACACACACATTCATTTATGTTACTGAATGGATTCAAGTGACGTAATCTTATGTCGAGTGCTAAAGTATGTCAAGCACACAGATCCCCACGAAAACATTTTTATTGGAATATGATGTCAACATCAGACAATCAAACATGGCTAGTTCTAAACTTATCAATGTGAAGAAATGCATTGAAAAAGAAAACCCATCTAAAAACCCCCAACTAAGACATCTCACAAAAAAGAAGAAAAGAATCAGCAGCAATAAAACAACAAAAATAATGGTTTGTTGTTCCAAGTCCACACTCCACAAGGTTGTTGTGGGAGGAGGACCCATGGCCATGGCGAATTCACAGACCGTGGCGCATTGGCCTCGGTCATACCCGGCGCCCGTGCGGCTTCGTCCCAGTGGAGCAGTCTTCTTCGCCTTCGCCTCTGAATATTAGGGCTTAGGGTTTAACCAAGCTGCAGGTTGTGGATACTCGCTGCGAGTGAGTGAGAGAGAGGGGATTTTCTTCATTGTGATTTAGCTATGGCGCGTACGAAGAAGAAGGGAAAGCGCGGCAATAAGAAGCCCAACAAGCAGGTACTACTACGCCATGCACAGCCTGTGGTGACCTTGTGTTGAATGGAAGATTGAGGGTCCTTCTGTTTTTGTTTTGTTTGTTTTGTATTTGCTGTGTTTGGATGTTGAGGGTTGGAAAGGAATTGCAGGCAAGTGAGTATGGCGCGGAGGTGGAGATGGAGGACGCCGAGGGGAACGGTGCCAGTGCCAGCGCTCCACCACAACCCACCAAGGTTTGGGTGCCGGGAGTCGACGAGATTGGAGATGACGAAGAATTGCAATTCGACCCGACGGCTTACCACTGTTTGCATTCTTTCAAGCTTGGATGGCCGTGTCTCAGGTTTTTTTGTGCATCTGAATTTACTTTGTGTTTTATGAGCGTAGAGCTGAGAGGGCTGTAGGACAGTGTAATTAGCGGCGAGGAGCGGATGAGTCATGGGGAGTCGGGGTATGTGATGTTTTGGGAAGAGTTATTTCATTTTGCTGGATTTTGACGCGGACCGGTCTTATTTATTTTTACTTATTTTTGGTTCGTTTTGATGTAGCTTTGATATAATGCGTGATGACTTGGGGGTCCTGCGGAGAGATTTTCCTCACGCTATGTATTGTGTCGCTGGCACACAGGTAAACCTCGACCTTGGTTTGCGTGGCTCTTTCCTGGCTGAATTCCCTTTTAGTTGGCATGGATCTTCGGCATTCTTGCACGTTGAACATATTTCAGGGTCGCACCATCGCTCTTACAGTGGTATACATTGATTTTATGGATTCTCTCAGGCCGATCAACCCGGCAGCAATTCGATTGCTGTTGTGCACATGACGAATGTAACAGGAAAAATCCCGAAAGCGCCGTCTGCAATGGAGGATGGAGATGATGATGCTGATGATAGTGACAGCAGTAGTGATGAGGAAGATATCGAAGATTTAGAGGGGGCTCCTAATCAGCCAATTCAGTCCAAGAAACCAATTTTTAAGGTATGCCAACTTCATGAGATCGTCTTTGATGAATTAAGAATTTAGTTTGGATGGTTCACTTGTGAAGTTTCACAACCGGACAGACCATTGGTGCTCTCTGTGACTTTTGCACTAATTACTCTTGTCAGCTTCCAACATGCCACATTATTAAGCTCCCGTATTTTTGAGTTGTGACTAACGACGATGCAAACGATATGTTTGTTTTGATACTTTAACAAGAATTCTAGAGTTGAGACTAATACTCTTTGACTACACCTGATCGTAGCTGATAATGATTTAATGTTGAATTTTGTAGGTGCGACTAGTGGCTCATCAGGGTTGTGTCAATAGAGTTAGGGCTATGACTCAACAATCTCATATCGTTGCCACGTGGGGTGATTCAGGGTATGTTCAGGTACTGATTTTTCCACCACCACTTGATCGTATCTTTGTCTTAGCAACTCAACTTGCTTTCCATTGTACATGACTGAATTTTTTCTTGTCGCGTGGTATTCACATTCCTCTTGTTTGTTTAGTAATTCATCATGAGAAGATATAGGATTTTTCTTATTTGTTTCGAATCTGTAGGTATGGGACATGGGAAATCATATTCGATCAATGGCAACTAGTGGACCTGATCCTTCTGGCGCACCCACCACAGTACGTCAAGCTCCTCTACATATTTTTACTGGCCATAAAGATGAGGGCTATGCTCTTGACTGGAGTCCAATTACTGCAGGCCGTCTTCTTTCTGGTATGTTGGCACACCTATAATCACACGCTTAGGTGAAAATAAAATTGAACTATCAAAATGATTATACCTGATCGAAAATATAGGTTTTTTTTTTGGATTTCGGTAGCGACTGGAATTGTATGTTCAATTTCCAAGGCACGTTTAGCTTACTCTAGATTTTGGTTCTGAGTGGGTAGAACAAGGGATCTTTTCTAAAATGTTAATTTCTGCTACCTCAGGGGACTGTAAGAGTAATATCCATTTGTGGGAGCCTACCCCGGGAGGGAAGTGGGCGGTTGAAAAGACTCCATACACGGGTCACTCTGCTAGCGTTGAGGATCTGCAGGTATTGCAGAGAATTTGTCTTGGGTTTCATTCGACGGTCTTTACTCTGGGTGCCTCGTGGGTATAGTGAGGGTTTGTCTTAAACTTCCTACGCTGTTGTCCCACTTTTGTTTTGGGTTTTTGGTCGTCTTTTTAATCGGATGTTTACTGTTCGAGTTCAAATTTTGGAAAAAAATAATTATATAATTCAACATGCATTGTCTCTACTTGTATTAATTTTAAAATTGATATTTTTGCAGTGGAGTCCAACAGAAGCGGATGTTTTTGCCTCTTGTTCGGTGGACGGAACCTTAAGAATCTGGGATACACGTAATCGTCAAGGGTCAGCAATCTCGATCAAGGCTCATGATGCGGATATCAATGTTATATCTTGGAACAGGTATGAATCTGTATAGCTGATCTAATCTCCCCACTGTTCTCCGGTCTTTGTCAATATCCTTACATATTACTCTTTCATTCCAACGTATCAGTAAGCAGCTTTATAATAATCAAGAATATTTATGTGAAAATTAGAGTTGGTTGGGAGCATTGGTAAAGTTGTGCCATCTAATATTTTTCTCGGACTCGCTAATGAGCAGGGTAGCAAGTTGCATGATTGCCTCAGGTTGCGATGATGGCACCTTCCGGATATGGGATTTGAGAAACCTGAAGGTAATCTACCGTCCTTTGCAGAGGACATATGACTCCAGATGATGATCCTTATTTTAGTTGATGCTCGTTATAATTAGATACTATGCATGCTTATTTTAGGTGGATTGATTGGGGTTCACCATTGTACTCCCTGAATTATTGAATTAAATGCCACACTTGCAGGAGGATTCATTTGTGGCACATTTCAAGTACCACACGCTTCCTGTAACATCTATCGAGTGGAGCCCTCACGATGCATCCACGCTTGGTGTTACTTCGGCTGATCACCAATTGACGTATTTTTCTCGACTTGCCTGACATTTTATACACTTTGAGTTGCCTTAATGATGTTTCAAGTATGCTTATCGAGCGAAGATTATGACGTTTTGTTTTATGGCTTCAGAATTTGGGACCTCTCACTAGAAAGAGATGCTGAAGAAGAGGCTTTATATCAAGCTCAACTGAAACAACAGCAAGCAGAGGCTCCTCAAGATTTACCCCCTCAACTGCTATTCGTACACCAGGTACTTGGACTACTGAAACTCTCAGCTTTTTCTTTCTGACGACTTTTAGTAAAGGTGTTTTTAATAACGAGTTGTTTGTTTGAGGTTGAGTGTTTAGAGGCTCTTTGTACATACTAGAATACCTTATGAGTAGTTATGGTGCCAGATCTGAACTTATTTATTTAGTGGTTCGCAGAACCGTATAGTCTGTTCTTTGACAATTGTGTTAGTATTTGCAGTTTTCATTTGAGAACTGGCTCCCCAAATATTAATTTGTAGTCTTGAGTTTTTCTCAAGATGAGGGTAGTTGCTACATGAAGCCTTACTTTTTTATTGAATGCGTAATGCAGGGGCAAAAAGATCTCAAAGAGTTCCATTGGCACCCTCAAATACAAGGGATGTTGATGTCAACAGCAGGAGATGGATTTAATATCTTGAGGCCATCCAACCTTGACAATTTACCAGCTCTTTAATTCATGTGAACTTACGTTTGTTCTGCCAATGTAAAACTGGCTCAATGTATGAAGCCGTGGTTACCTTCTCTGTGAGCAAGAATTTCCACTTGACCGGATATGCTTTTGTGAAAGAGGGTTTTCTTCAAAAAGTCGTTCCCAACTTTTGGATATCTACTGGCGTTGACGTCTGGTTCACGGTCGAAATCATAACCCAACAATATGCATGTATCTTTGACTTCTGAAAGAACTTGGTCTTGCAAACAAGCATTAGTGCAAGTCGTGAAAGAAATGAAGGCATTAAGGAAAATTATTGAGTCACCTGATTCTTCTTTTAAAATCAGCTATTGACTAGAGAATCAGATTTTAGTCCAAGGGGGCTAATGTTGTTAAGTGAATGAAAATCGGAGATGTTGGAAAATTCTCTCTAATGCATTTAAATACCTTATTACTGAGGAGTATGCATCCATAAATGTAACTGCAGGGGAAATAAGTAAGAAGAACATGGAGTCTGGGTGATATATTGATCAAAGGTTTTGTTCAAGATACAGAACTCACATAGTTGAAATAATAAGTCGACCATAGTGGACATATACCTGTGATAAAGTTATGAAATTATCCAAGATAATATTTAAAGAAAATTGTGTAAACCATGACCTTTTAAAGAATACGTAAAGATATTCTCAAAGAATGAGGCATATGGTTTCAATTGAAAGTTATTGAACTATGTCTTAAATATGATTCAGAAAGAAGATTATTAGAATTCTATAGAGTATAAAGCTATAGTTAACATCCCCTATCAGTGAATATTATTGATAGTATGTACATAATATTGATTTGGTTGTATTTTGGTATAATTTTTTCATATGGCTAACAATTGAAAAATTGTCTTCTTAAAAGGATGTTTATAGAACAAAGCTACTCCAAACATGTCTATTTATTTATTTGAAGTAAGTAAAAGAAAAACCTAGATGAACTAAAATTAATTTGATAATTAAATATTTTTGTTTATGTAATATAATCCAGCCTTTTTGATTGATTTCCAATAATAGAAATTTTGATAGTATAATAAAATTTGCCTTTGTTAGTCATTTCAAATTCTTGGTAAAGAATATCTTTAATAATTTGAATAAGAAAACTTATATTACTAATGATGATGCAATCATCAAAGTAAAGAATTAGAATAGTGAAACCATCATCATTTTTTTTCTTAATGTATATATTAGCATCAATCTCAAGTCTAATATAATTATTTAAGGTTGAATATTTGTCAAAACAAAGATTTTATGTGCAAGAAAGTTGCTTCAAGCAATATAATAATCTTAAAACTTTATAAACTAAATTTATATTAATTGGTAAAAATGAGCCTTTAGAAATTGATGATTGTGGAAGCAAAGATTTTAATTGTAGATTGGGAGTTGTTGGTTGTTGTGGAATAGGTACATGAGACTTACTATAAATAATAGAAGGGTGTTTGATTAAAACATGATTAGTTGATTCTTGTGTATGTTGTTTGAGGATGAAACTTGGATATAAAGCAATATTTTCATGAAAAATAATGTCTTAAGATATAATTATTGTTTTGTTATGTGAATTCATTAGACAATAAGCTTTGTTTTTTTTGTTTTTTTGTTATTTTTATTTTTATTTTTATTGTAATCTAAAAAAATAGCCTCAAGTAAATGAGAGTCTAGCTTTTTTTGAATTTTCTTTTGAATAAAGACACAAGCTTTATTGCTAAAGATTTTTAAATGTAAAAGATTAGGTTTTTGATTAAACTATATTTAAAAAATATTTGTTGACTAATATGGCTTTGGTGGAGCTTTGTTTTTGAAGGTAGTTAGTTGTAACAAGTGCTTCACCTTAAATAATTTTGGATAATTGAGTGTAAACTAACATAGATAAAATTGCCCCCACTAAGGTTTGATTTTTTCTTTTTGCGACACCATTTTGTTGTGGTATGTAGGATGTTGTAAATTCTTACTTGATGCTTTCTTTTTTACATAATTCATAAAATAAGTCTAAATTATATCAACCACTATAATTAGATCTTAAGATTTTACTTTTGTAATTTATTTAATTTTTGGCAAATGTTTTGTAGAATATAAATTCATTAAACTCTTTAAATTTATGCCTTAATAAATAGGTATGATAATATCTAAAGAAATTATTAATTAAAGTGATAAAATATGTAGATCCAAAATAAATAGTGACTTGTATAGAACAAAATGAATAAGGCCCAAAAGTTGTGCAGTCTTTTGTAGTACCCTTCTTAAAAACTTGGTTTAGTATTGTTTACCTTTAATACACAAGTGACAAAAGTTGAATTCTTATGAATCAAAAGTATCCATACCAAAGTTGTATTACATGTGTTTTTGCTTGAGAATGCATCAGACGCTTAGTTGTGGAAAGTAAGTAGAAATGCAAGAACAATCCTACCAAGTCTAATAGAATCTTAAATAACCTTAAATAGACCTTAATGATCTTAATTGAATTTTGACCAATCCAAAATAAATTTAAAAGAAGTTATAAAAGAAACACAAAAAAAAAATTCCAAACTAATTCCAAAGAAAAATAACAAGAAATCTTAAAAAATATAAAAATAAAACTTTAAAAAAATAAAAATAATCTTAAAGAAATACTAAAAATAGAAACTCTAATATAATCCTAATTAAAATCTTAATTGAATCTTAATCAAATCATATGTCAAATCCTAATCAACCCTTAATCAAGTTCTAAACCAAACTCTAAGAAAATCCTAATCCTAAGCAAACCTTAGTTCAAATCCTAAGACTTAATTAAACCATAGGCAAATCCCAAACCAAATCCTATAGTAAATTAGAACCTCAAAAAATAATAATTAAACCATCAATATCAATTCAAAATTTGTATACTTTTCAATATCTTAATTAGAAACAAACACATGAAAGATAAAATCAATTGCACTTATCAATTGAGAGAAATGCAAGATAATCCAATTGGATGTTGGGCAACTTCTTACTCCGATCTAAATTTTGAACTTCAAATGCTAATATCTCCTTTTTAAACCATTCAATTGCTTCTAAATTTCACTTAAAATGTTGAAAATCGAGTCTTGTATCTACATAATTTTTTTTTTACTTCAATCCAATTGACAGATTCCTGAAGATCTTAAAAATACTCACTAATCCTTAAACTCCAATTTTTGAGACCTCAACCTACAAAAACCTTTACACACTTTGATATAACCCTTTGATTGATCTCAAAATTTGTACACACATTTATAAATAGTACACTAACATATTTTCCAAAATTTACTTATATATACACCACAAAACTTAAGAAATCTTCTAATTTGTAAATATATTTTTATTTCTTAAAATCTAAACCAACCAAGAATATTAATAACTTTGAAAATCCTTCAAAAACTCAATATTTACTCAATTAATATGAAACCAACATCCAAAAATCTTTCTCTTTAATTTTGCTTTCAAATTCCACTCTTTGATCTACCAAAGAACTCTTGAATTACCGTAGGTGCTCAGTTTTGTGCCTTAGGGTCTGATTTTGATCCAAGTTGATAACTAATCCTCTCTATATATCAATTCTTGGCTTCTTAAGGTAAATTTTGTTAAAAAATACTCTTAATTCTCTTATATATATATATATATATATATATATATATCTGACTATATTATTTAATTTTTCAATCTACTTTATTTTTCTTTACTTATGGTCCTACAAAGTAAGTATAAGCCTATTTTGTAAAAAAGTAGCATTAATATTTTTTAGTTTTACTATCTTTTTGATTATTATCTATATTTAAATATAATTTATTATAATACTTAAAATAATATTTTTTATAATATATATATATACATTTTTTCTTTCTTTTAATCATTAGTTGTATTACATCACAACATCGATAAGTATTAAATGAAGTTATTTTAGTCTATGCTAATTTATATGACTTAGTTGTAAATGCCATAAATCTATTTTGTTGAATTGTGTTAAAGATAAGAACTTGATGAAAGCAAATAATCAAGTGAGACTTTTATCAAAGAAGTATCATAAAATAAATATAAGAAAATATATATATTAAAAAAAATTAGAATGATTATTGCCAAAAGACAAAAAAATTAAGTAAAATCCTTGTAAATGACAATGAGTTTTTTTTTGCTTAGTAAGTTCTTTGAAACGTATTGTTTCAATTAGCATATCTTCTAATTTAAAATGTATGTGTTGAAGAGATGTTAGTATTACCATTGAATTATAATAATATAGAGGTGCACTTCTGTAACTTTCAAATTAAAATTCAAAAAGTTCATTGTCATATTTTATAGTAAAGTCAATTGCTTGATTCAATGTTTGAGGATCATATAAGTTGAACATCATTTTTTTTACCTCATATTGTAATCCATAGAAAAATTGGCTAACAAGTGCAACATCATCTTACTTGATATTACTTGTAAGTTGTCAAAATTATGCAGTATATAATGTTATTGATTGATTATCTTGTTGCAAAATATAGATCTTGTTGATTGCAATACAAATTTTATCATGTTCTCTATATATAGATCAAAACTTTGCCAAAAAAACCTCCAGATTATTCAATATTGAATCTCATCATTCAAAAAAAGATAAAAATCATGATAATACTAAATTTAAAAGAAATGTACCAATGAATCTAATTTGTGAACTTGGAGTTGGATAGCTTTAGAGTTCAAGTTCAATTGTAAGTTCTATTTGATTAATGAATCCTCAAAATTTGAATCTTGTGCCATCAAACTTCTTGGATAGTGCAATTCTTGGTTCTTTAACACTAGAAGGATATTCCACCCTTGGAGAAGGGACATGATTTGATGCAAATATTGAAGCAGCTCCAATCATCTCTATATCTTTGCTTTCTACCATTCTTATTTCTCTTTATAGTAGAAATTTGAATTGATGCATTGTAAGCATTAATTCCTTGAATTTCTCTTACATTTGTACTATTGTACTTTTTATTTCAAGAAGTTCTATCATAATATACTTAGAAAAGAAAAGATGTCTAATATTATTCAAGATAAATAGAAGAGATGACTTGAAAACAAACAAAATATTAAAGATAATATCAGCTTAAATGAAGATAATCTATAACTTTTAATAGGCTTATATCTTATCAAAAGAAAAGAATAATCTACTCTTAATTAAG